CGCTTACAGGGAAGGGGGGACAGGGTAAAATGATCTGCCCATGGAGTCTCATGATTCCGACTGCATTCCCTAATTATCCGGAGCAGGGGTCATTTCGTAGAAAAAGAGGTGCAGGAGCTCATTAGCATAACTCATTAGCATAACCTATTTGCATATGCCACACCCCCTGACATCACCGGAAGTGTGTCAGAAGGCAACACCCACCACTCAGGCTCCACTGGACTGTTTTGGATTGCTAGCTATTGGGCGGGAAGGTGCAGATCTGTCCTCGCAGAGGAGGGAGAGCTTGTACCTGAATAAGACTTGGTCTTAAAGGTGCCACTGGACTGTTTGGGACTGGGGGGGCGGGGGAGCTCTGCAACTCACCTGGCTGCTTTTTGCTCTGACTGAGGTGTGCTGGGAGCAGGGGGTGGGGCTTGTTGCATGTTCCCGCCCCCTGGGCTCTTTACTACCGGAGCTCCGCTCCTGGGCGCTCCTGCAGGAAATGACCCCTGCTCTGGAGCATTTTAGGTTTCCAAACGGATACTTGGAGCCTGGAACATGAAGCTCTTAGAAATTACTGAAAAGGTTACCCCTCACGGACCTCTCCTACCCTTGGGGCAGAACCTAGCCCTGCTGTTTACCAGGGAACAGAGGGACTTGAAAAAAAAGCCAACAGTTGTGACCCAGGTGACCTTTAGAGGGCCACCAGAGTAATTAACTCATAGAATTCACTGCAGTAGGAAGTGGTGTCAGATAGAAGCATGGACAGCTTCAAGAGCGGGTTGGATACACACATGGAGCAGAGGGGGGCAACAGTGGGAGGGCTCCTGGAGTTCTGGCCTCACTGCTGGACCTCCTGATGGCACCTGGGTTTTGGCCAGCGTGTGACGAGAGAGTGTTGGACTGGATGGGCCACTGGCCTGGTCCAGCATGGCTTCTCTTATGGTCTTAGCAGCTGGGTGACTTCGAAAGGGCCAGTGGACCACCATCCCAATCGTTTAAGATCTCTCAGTGTTTGCTGACCAGTGTTCCCCCTAAACTGAGTTAGTGTGAGCTGGCTCACAGATTTTTAGCCTCTGGCTCACACCTTTTTGTCCTGGCACAGGGAGGCATGGCTCCAGAGCAAACTACGTCATGCAGCAGCCCAATCGCTCGCTCACAACTTTAATGCCAGCAGCTCACAAAGCCTTGCTCACAAGACCCCACAGCTTAGAAGGGAGCATTGCTGCTCAATCTGACCCTCTCTTATTCTCAGAAAGAAGAAATCAGTGAAGACGATTTTGTTAAAAGAAATTGCTGATAGACTTGCTGATTCCTTTGATCAAGAACCAGGGGTCATTTCCTGCAGGAGCGCACAAGAGCGGAGCTCCAGCAGTAAAGAGCCCAGGGGGTGGGCACATGCAACAAGCCCCACCCCCTGCTCCCAGCAGCCCTCAGTCAGAGCAAGAAGCAGCCAGGTAAGTTGCAGAGCTCGCCCCGCCCCCCGCCCCCGGCCCAAAACAGTCCAGTGGCGCCTTTAAGACCAGGTTTTATTCAGGTACAAGCTCTCCCTCCTCTGCGAGGACAGATCTGCACGTCCCCCCCCCAATAGCTAGCAATCCAATACAGTCCAGTGGAGCCTGAGCGGTGGGTATTGCCTTCTGACACACTTCTGGTGAGGTCAGGGGGTGTGGCATATGCAAATGAGTTATGCTAATGAGTTATGCTAACGAGCTCCTGCACCTCTTTTTCTACGAAATGACCCCTGTCAAGAACTGAAAGCTCCCTGGGTGATCATTTCCTCTCCGGCCCGCCTGCCCATCCAGTACTCCACCCCACATCTATTCCATGTCTGTTGCACCTGCAGTGATATAGACAAGTTGGCTTGGAGGAGCCAAACTGATGTGCACAGGGTTGAATTGTAATTTTCTGCTCTTTTTTTCATGATGAAAAGGGCCAGTGATGGCCAAACCTGATCTGATCTCCTGGCTGGAAGGAGAAGATGAGCTGTTCTTCCTGTTCTCGTCTGAAGAGGAGGGATTAAAAGGTCTGTGGTGGGACGGTGTGTTGCTTCTGCTTCCTCCCCAGGGCGGGTGGGTTTCTTCTGTGACCTTCTTTATCCTAAGAGCTGGTTCTCCTCCAAAGAGCTGGGGCAAGTTGTGAATGCTGGAAAGTTCCCTTTAGAGGTTGAAGAGCAAATAACTAAGCAATCGGTAGCCTATATCACTGCCTGAGGAGGAACCCATGGGTTCGTAGCTTCGTTTTTGAGAAGCCCCTCTGAATTACTGATCCCTCAGTGCAACATAAGATATCACAGGACCAGTGTTCTTAGAGTGAGCTAGCTCACTGTTTTTTAGCCTCCAGCTCACACATTTTTGTCTTCGCTCAGGAAGGGATGGCTCCAGAGCAAACTAATTTATGCAGTAGCCAAATCGTTCGCTCACAACTTTAATGCCAGTAAAATGTTTGCTCACAAGACTCCACAGCTTAGAGGGAGCGTTGCACAGGACCCAGTTACTAACAAAGACTTTTGAAAGTGTATCTAGGCACCAAGCTTTTGCATTCCTGTACCCCCTTACCACAGTTTATGTAGTTCATTCTCTAATGTTCTTGCTCAATTTTTCACCATGTTCATGGAAAGTGTCTCTTTCTTTCAGCCAGAAATATGCAGAGAATTCAGGGAGAAGCGAAAAAATATAAATGTCTGGAGTGTGGGAAAAGGTTCAGGTGGAGTTACAACCTTACTTCCCATCAAAGAATTCACACAGGGGAGAAACCATATAAATGCCCGGAGTGTGGAAAGTGCTTTAGGAGCAGAGGAGGCCTTACTTACCATGAAAGAATTCATACAGGGGTGAAACCATATAAATGTCTAGAGTGTGGGCAAAGCTTTCCTCGGAAGGATACTCTAACTTCCCATCAAAGAATTCACACAGGAGAGAACCCATATAAATGCCTGGAGTGTGGAAACTGCTTTAGTCGCAAAGGAAGCCTAATTGACCATGAAAGAATTCATACAGGGGAGAAACCATATAAATGTCTGGTATGTGGGAAAAGCTTTCCACGGAAGCATACTCTAACTCTCCATCAAAGAATTCACACGGGAGAGAAACCGTATCAATGCCTGGAGTGTGGAAAAAGCTTTCTATGCAAGGATAAGTTAATCTCCCATCAAAGAATTCACACAGGGGAGAAACCATATAAATGCCGGGAGTGTGGAAAGTGCTTTAGTTGCAAAGGAAGCCTTACGTACCATGAAAGAATTCACACAGGGGAGAAACCATATACATGTTTGGAGTGTGGAAAAACCTTTCGACAGAAAAATATTCTAGATTCCCATCGAATAATTCACACAGGGGAGAACCCCTATACATGCCTGGAGTGTGGGAAAAGCTTTAGTAGCAAAGGAAGCCTTACTGACCATAAAAGAATTCATATAGTGGAGAAACCATATAAATGTCTGCAGTGTGGAAAAAGCTTTCTTTGCAAGGATAAGTTAACCTGCCATCAAAGAATTCATACAGGGGAGAAACCATATAAATGCCTGGAGTGTGGAAAGTGCTTTAGGTGCAATGGAAGCCTTACTTACCATGAAAGAATTCATACAGGGGAGAAACCATATACATGTCTGGAATGTGGAAAAAGCTTTCGACAGAAGAATATATTAACTTCCCATAAACGAATTCACACAGGGGAGAAACCATATAAATGCCTGGAGTGTGAAAAGTGCTTTACTAGGAAAGGAAGTCTTACTTACCATGAAAGAATTCATACAGGGGAGAAACCGTATGAATGCTTGGGGTGTGGGAAAAGCTTTCGACAGAAGAACATATTAACTTCCCATCAAAGAATTCACACAGGGGAGAGTCCATATAAATGCCTGGAGTGTGGAAAGGGCTTCAGTTGCAAGAGAAGCCTTACTAACCATGGAAAACTTCGCATAGGGTAGAAAACGTATTTGCCTGGAATGTGGAAGAATGTTTCCATGGAAGGATGAACTAACTTTGCATGAAAGAATTCACACTGGGGACAAAGCTTAGAAATATCTGAAGCATGGATAGGTGTTCCATCAAACAGCGCGGGGAGCGGTGGCACAGAGGATTTATCCTCTGGTTATAGTAACATCTGAGCTGAACAGTACGGCTGTCAGTTCTAGCCCTGTGCTGGTGTGAGCTACCAGCCTTGTCCCCAGCTTGCCATCCACCCAGCGGTTCGAAAGCTTCAGTGAGTAGATAAAATGGGTACCACTCCTTAGAGAGGGTGGGCACACTAAACCACACCCCCGGTGGGGGAGGTGTTAGCCGGCGAACGGAAAGCTCAGCTCGCAAGATCGAAAGCCTAAGAAAAATCTCTTCGACTCTGAGAAGCCTGTAATGGGCCGTTCCGGCCAGGTGGTGGCAGTGCGGCGCTGCAACTCGAAGACCTGGAGAAGCTGACGTCATCTAGCCAAGCCGAAGTGAATATGCCGCCGGAACACGTCTGACCCTGCAGCTGAACAAATCCCCGCCGGTTGCGAAAGTGTGTGATTTAAAAGATATATGTTGTCCTCCCTTACCCCCATAAATCATTGTTAGTCCCGTGTGAATGAGTAACTGTAAATCGCTCAGAGCCAGCAAGCTCTGCAGGATTGAGCGATTAATAAATTGAAAGATGATGATGATGAGGGTGATTATTAAAAGTAGGTAGGAAAATTAGAAAGTAACATTATTTCTTTCGTAAAAATATTGTCTTAAACCATTCTGTTTCAGTAGGAAAGAGGAAGATTCCAGTCTAGATATCTGAAGAAGTGAGCTGTGACTCATGAAAGCTCATCCCCTGCCACTATTTTTGTTAGTCTTTAAGATGCTACCGGACTCTTGCTCTTTGCTACTGTTAGAGACAGACCAGGCTTGTAGCCAGAATTTTTTAAGTCAGGGGCATTTAAATTTCTTAGGGGGCACTGGCTAATCAAATTAAAGGACTACCCGGCTCTTTCCCCGTACCTGCCACTGCTCGGGGGCCCTGGCCTGGATGGGAAGTCAGGGGGCCCGTTCCAGTAAGTCAGGGGGCCTAGCCCCGAGATGCCCCACTGTAGCTGCGAGCCTGAGACAGACTGATACAGCTACCCAATGCATTCTGTTCACACCTTCTGTGGAATGCTGGAATTGTGGGAGTCTTCCACACCTTTTTGGGCAGGACATTCCCCAAGGGGGAGCCAGAATGAGCTAATCATTCTGTACGTGTTGCTCTCAGTCTCACCCGTTATCTTTGCCCAGATGAGCAAAGCAGTTGCAATAGATTGCAATATTGACAGAAGCAGTCCTGTAGACATTAAGCCCTGAAAGACTTTGTCAGCAATAGCTAGCACCTTGACCTAAACTGAAAAACTGAGCAATCTCCAAAGGAGCAACTCAGATATTTGCCAGATGCATTCTGTGCCTCACCCCGGAAAGTCATCAAGCTGCGACATTCTGTACCAGATGGAGATTCTGACTTCAAGGGTGGACCCATTTAGAGTGCATTGTGGTAGACTGGCTGCCTGGCTACTGTGGCTTTGACTTTCATTGTGTGTACTGATGCTGTTCTGAGCATTCATGCCTCTCATATTCCCTGTAATCTGACGAGAATTAAGTGTTGTGCTTCAGTAAACTATATACTTAGTTAAATTATTGAATCTGAGTTTCTTATTGGTTCAGCATGGCCCACTGGGGCGAAAGAGCCAGTTTGGTGTAGTGGTTAAGAGCGGAGACTCTAATCTGGGAGAACCGGGTTTGATTTCCCACTCCTCCATATGCAGCTGCTGTTGTCACCTTGGGTCAGTCACAAGTTCTCTCAGAGCTGTTCTCTCAAGAGCAGTTCTTGAAAGAGCTCTCTCAGCCCCATCTACCTCACAGGGGAAGGGAGGGGAAGGGAAAGGAGATTGTAAGCTGCTCTGAGACTCCAAGTGAAGGCGGGGTATAAATCCAATCTCCTCCTCCTCCTCCTTCAACAAACACAGCATCAGAAGGATTAACTAGGATTTCTCCTAACGGCACCTAGGTTTTGGCCACTGTGTGAAAAAGTGTGTTGGACTGGATGGCCTGATCCAACATGGTTTCTCTTGCATTCTTATTTTCTCCCCTCAACTTTCATTTTAGAGATATTTGAGAATTCCAGAGTGAACATTTCTCTGCTTGAATGTGAGTCCATCTGTCCAATTTGTTGGAAAGTGGAGTGATTTCAGATGCCAAACGACTTTAGCAGGTGAATGACAATAGCAGTCACGATTGGATTAGGTTGGATATGCAGAGAGGTAGTAGGAATAAAACAATCAGTATTGGTAATGAGACAGGAAACCTAGGTCTCAATTCAGTCCAGGTGGATGCATTGTATTGAGCTGGACTGAACTGAGACCAAGCCAAGGCACATCCCCTGATTACCTCCAAATGCCTCAACAGGATGGCATCACCTACTGTATCCAAAGCTGCAGGCAGATCTCGGAGGAGCAACAAAGCAGTTCCCACCACCACCATGTCTCATGTGGTGCAGTAACTGGGATTGTGTTGTGCAGAGCTGAATACCACCCCCTCTCACTCACAAAACCTGTTGACTGTCTGAAGTTAGCCCAGTCATGTTCAGTTTGGTGTAGTGGTTAAGGGTTGATTCCCCACTTCTCCACTTTAAGCTAGCTGGGCGACCTTAGGCAAGTCACAGCACTCTCAGCCTAAAAAAAAAAGAGCACAGCTCACCACCAGAAAAGAGCTTCAGCTTTGGCAGCCAAACAGTCCTCCAAGATCCCCTGACTGTTCCACACACTGTTACTTGTCGAGTGGGTGCTGGGTTCACGCGATGCAAAGACGACAGGACACAAGTCTGCAGGAAGCTGTCTGAATGAATGAATCTCCTCTCACCAGCTGTATTTATTGAAAATCTTTTCCTCCATCCCCTCCTTTCTTTCATACATTACAGCATCCTTAAGGAATGTGTGTGTGTGTGTGTGTGTGTGTGTGTGTGTGTGTGTGTGTAAGCTCTCTGTTATCTCTGCCAAGGTCACACTGACTGCGTAGGCAATCACCAGACTTCTCATGCTGTTAGCACACAAATACTTTCGGGTTCCCAATTTCCAGGCAGGAGAATAATGGATCCGTCTGCACTGCTTTCCTACAACACGTGATACAATACGCTAATTTAATTTAATGGCTTTATACCCCTTCTGTTCATCAGCTAGCCAAGATTTTTTTAAAATTTTTTATTTATTTTGTATTTATCTTTAAATTTATACCCCGCCCTCCCCGAAGGCTCAGGGCGGCTCACAAGGGGCACGAATGCCCAAGTTAAAACACTAAAACAATACAGAATAGTATACAATACAATACAATTCACTACAATTTACTTTTCGGTGCTCCAGAATTAATTAACTATAAAAGTTCAAGATGGGATTCTAAAATTATTAGCAACAAACAACAGTAATAATAATAAATATAGCAGCAACAATGGGGGACTATTGGGGCGTAGATAGAATGATGGTAATGATGATGACATAATGATGGCATAATGATGGTGGCGGCGGCGGCTCCTACTCGAAAGCCTGGCGGAAGAGCTCCGTTTTACAGGCCCTGCGGAACTGCACGAAGTTTGACCTGATTGTTGCAACAAAACCACCTTCGGCAACATCTTTTCAGCTACCACCTTTTCTGTGTTGGCCAAAATGATCACTGTAGTCAGGGGTCATTTCCTGCAGGAGCGCACAGGAGCGGAGCTCCGGCAGTAAAGAGCCCAGGGGGCGGGCACATGCAACAAGCCCCTCCCCCTGCTCCCAGCAGCCCTCAGTCAGAGCAAGAAGCAGCCAGGTAAGTTGCAGAGCCCCCCCGCAGTCCAAAACAGTCCAGTGGCACCTTTAAGACCAAGTCCAAGTTTTATTCAGGTACAAGCTCTCCCTCCTCTGTGAGGACAGATCTGCACTCCCCCCCCCATAGCTAGCAAACCAAAACAGTCCAGTACTGCCTTCTGATACACTTCCGGTGATGTCAGGGGGTGTGGCATATGCAAATAAGTTATGCTAATGAGCCCCTGCACCTCTTTTTCTATGAAATGACCCCTGAGTATTCCATATGCGGAGCGGAAAGCTGCAATCTTCCCAGAGTGATCGAAGGGCCTAAAGCAGCTCGTAACGTACCTCAGAAGAACTCCAGCTTTTCTATAGAGCTACACGTCGATATTCTAGGGCAGTGATGGCGAACCTTTTAGAGGCCGAGTGCCCAAACTGCGACCCAAAACCCACTTATTTATCGCAAAGTGCCAACACGGCAATTTAACCTGAATACGGAGGTTTTACTTTGGAAAAAACAACTCACACATTAACTTAAGATGATCCAGACAAAGTAAGGAAAGCAATCCCAAATGCTTTCATTTTCTTAAAATTATTTGGCGGAGAATTCGACACTTGAATGATGGTCTGGGCCTGGCTGAGGCGATGGCACGCATGCCCACAGAGAGGGCTCTGAGTGCCCCCTCTGGCACCCGTGCCATAGGTTCGCCACCACTGTTCTAGGGCTACAAGAAACTCCTTGGGGGGAGGGGAACGGACACCACACCAATGGCAAGCAGAGCTGCAAGTCTATCCATCTTTACGTGACTGGCAAGACTGAGACCCTGGTGTGCTCGAATACAACAAACGTAAACAGTTCCCATGTTATAGGGTTACCAACCTCCAGGTGGGATTTTAAATAAAGTATCTTGAAATACCACAAGAGTGTATATTCTTACTATATCTCCAGTTGTCAAAGTTTCCTTATAACAACTCCAAAGGTATTTAATGCAAAGTCAAAAGCTCCGAGCCGGAGTTACAATATAACACATAAAAGTTCCCAAATTCTCAAAAGGCAAACAATCATGAGGTATAAATCAAGGTTACAAAACGTCACACTGCTAGTTCCGAAGTTCTCAATATGACAAATCTATATAACAAACCAGCAATTGGAAGTTGTGCAACGGACATGTATCCTAGGGGCATATAAACATGTTTCCATCCTCTTTTTCAAAGCTGCATCTCCCTTCCGTCGTGGAGATCTAAATTCAAGTCAGAGCCAATGGTCTTAAGAAACCTTTTTCAACCAGTGGCCTCCCAGCTATTAAGAAGAA